CAACAATCACACTCCCTGTCATTGACATAATTAATAGATAGTTTAGCTTCTCACCATCATTTGCTGTGGCCAACTGATGTTAACGATAACTGAAAGGCTGCCTGCCAAACGTAAACATTCAGCCACGTGACATTCAGCCAAACTCTCGCGATAGTTTTACACAAGACGGATCCTTTCTAGCCATAACCGGGGAGGGGGGAGAGAGCTGCCGTTTCATTCACACTGTTTAAAAACAGTAACAACGGACTATTTTCTTAGCGGATGCATGTCAATTTAAATCACATACAACTATTTTTTAAATCAATAAAAACATTTTCTAAATCCATAAAAGCATTTAAATTAATACTGGGAGTCGTGTCGTTACTTTGTTGAGAATGTGGCCGTGTAATAAGCGGGATAATTAGCAGCGACTTGTTCCTTATGGGGAAAATAGCACCCGTCATGCAGATCAGGATCCCTCCGCCACGCTTTGGGATCCTGATCTGCCGACGAGGCTCCATTAAAATATAAATATCTTTAGTGAATTACTGAGTTTAGGCATGTTAATAACGTTTTAATGAAGTTGAATACAGTATATTCATATGTGTCAGTGATTTCATGTCAATTCGGCGAACATAAACATAAATGATCGTGGTGAAGATGATGATTAAATTAGGATTAAAAATCGAGAGCCGGGCTGCATTTCCTCCTGTTCGTTTTTTTCGACTAAACAACATTATTTTGTTAAATAACAACATGGTGATGTTTTGTAAATGATTACATGTCTCTTATTTAGCACAGAGTATGATATCCGTGACATATGGATCTTGACAAAGTTCCGTTGTACATCCAGCGTACTGTATCTGACTTTATTTCACATGAGCTCCAGTGTGGAACCCCACTGCACCCCCTGGTGGATCAATGATCCATTGCAGCTGGCTTCATTATAATTACATTTATTTATCACGGGGGAGGTCTCAAGTCAAGCTGGAGGTTTTCCCTTGAGCGAGGGCAGATCACATACCAATCACGGCCCTTGCGTTTCAAACTGTCTGAAATGAAGCGCTACATCTGTATAAGGCCAAAATAAAAATAAAAAAGTGCTTTGTGTTTTTCTTTTTTTTCAATAGTTTTATTGCCAAATTTCCTCTCAAAACTATCGCCTTCCTCCATTTAATTTGTCAGATATTTGGACAGACGGATGGATATGCACATATGGTTATCACTGACTGTTATTGTTGATGCCTACACTCTGTCTCTCTCTTCCAGGGACCTGAAGAATAATTTGATCAGTACGGTGGAGCCCGGGGCCTTCAGAGGTCTGCATGCTCTGAGGAGACTGTGAGTATGATGAAGGATTATCCAGGGGACAAGGGGAAAAGCAGTGTCTGAAGGATCCTACTGTCCATGGCTAAGAGAGGAATGAAACTGAGGCAAAGTGTTGATAAGATCATGTCAGCCTTTGCTGAGCTTTCTCTTTCCAGTTGATGCTAAAGAAAGGCACATTACTCCTTCTTAATCAAATTCTATGTAATTGTTAGTGGAGACCAGTGTTTCTCAAACCAAGGACCACTTAACCAATAAAAAAACACTCGCGGACCACCTAACTCCACAAATATAAAAAAACACATAGTTTTTCTAGGACAGATTAGAAATCGCCAGAAAATTGTACAAACAAGTGGCAACATGTGTGATGAAGGTGTTGCGCTGGGCTATATCATGCAATTGAAAGTTAAACGTTACCTCGCTCCATTGCGGAGACATTACCGCGAGAGTGCAGAAAACTTAAATTTATTTATTTATTTAAAATGTGAAATTTTATCAATATACTCGCGGACCACACTTTGAGAACCACTGGTGTAGACGCATTCAAAACCCGGGGCACTGTTCTGCAGGATTGTGTTCTTGTGTTGTGCTAGAGGGCACATCAGCAGGAAGTGTTAAGGACAGGGAAAGCATTGTTGCTGTACCCCTGCGCTGCTAGGGTACTCACACATACAAAGCTGTCACTCCCACCCTCATCCACCTCCACTGGTTGCCGGTCAAGTCCTGCATAACATACAAAAGCCCTCCATGCCCATGCCCTCCAGTACCTATCGGACATCCTTCGCCCACATGCCCCACCCCGGAACCTGCGGTCTTCAGACTCTGGCCTGCTTAGCACCCGGCCCCCGCACCAACCTGCTAACCTTCGGGGACAGAGCCTTCAGTGTGGCAGCCCCCACCCTCTGGAACGCTCTCCATGCGGAGATCCGCAACATCCCCACGCTTGACGCCTTCAAAAGGGCCCTTAAGACCCATCTGTTTACTAAGGCCTTTGGCCCCTAACCTATTTTTTTTTATTATGTTTGTTTTGCCCCTATTCTTCTTTGTAAAGCGACCTTGGGCCTCATGAAAGGCGCTCTATAAATCCAAGCCATTATTATTATTATTATTATTATTATTATTAGTTCACTTCTTCACTGAGATTTCCAGAATTAGAACCACTGATCTTCTGCCAGTTGGGGTGTGTGCATTCACACATACTAGTCAGTTTTCTGGTGCGCACCAGACGAGAGTTTGTTACATTGTTTCATTTTTCAGAAAGTTCGGTTTGCGTTCACACCTAGGGTTCACACGGGCAAAACTCAAATGGTCAAATTTCTACCGGAGCCTCCGCCATGGAGCATCGGCACTTTTGGCAGGTTATTCTCATGCTGCTATTAATCTGGAGATCAACAAACACTAGCGGCCCGCCCATATGATTATATAATCAGACAACATCCGTTAAAAAACATTATAGCACATAATGAGACGTTCTGCAGTAAGGAGGGGCGTTTCACCGACGACAGGGGTTCTAACTTTTATGTAGTTGACGGATAATTTTTACTTTACACAACACTGTTCAACACTTCATTCTGCTTCACTCTTTAACTAAACAACCGTGGATGTCTTGAAAGACTCTTTCACTAAAGATTTTGAAGACATCCGCGTTCTTGTGACACGTAAATACTACGCTTCCTATGTTTTGGGTTGGACTGCGTTCACACCAGCAATGAACCGCTTCAGAGTTCGCAAGCAAGCGCTCCGAGACCACCTCTTTTAGCGAACCAGAGTCCGGTTGTTTAGTTCACTTAAGAGGTCTCCGACTGTGTTCACACCGACCCAAATGAACCGCACCAAGCGGCTAAACGCACCAGGGTTCGATTCAACCGGACTATACAAGGCAGGTGTGAACGCACCCTAGCGAGACTTAGTAACGTTTGCTGAAGGCACATTGGATTTCTTTCTGTTTGCCTTAATCCTTGAATTAGTTGCATTAAAGGCGCAATAGGATGTGGATTTTGGATCTGATGTTAAACAACATTTGAACTCCATTAGGCAAACTGACGCAGAAATCATTCACACACATTGGCTGTAGGATTATTCAAAACGGAATGTAAATTAAATACACTTTGATTAAACCAGCAACGCTGAAGGTTAACAACATGAACAATGTATTTTTATAATAGCAGTCCATTAAGAGTCTCCCTTCTGTTGTTAATACCAAAATCATGTGAGGCAGTAAAAAAGAGAAAAGTGTGTATTGAAATGAGCAAGTGTGTTTTTTTCTTATGAATTAAATGTAATGAATAATATTTAAACTAAAGTTAATTTTGAACCATCTCTTTTAAAAACACTTTTTTGTTTTCATTCATATAAAAAAACAGATTAAAGGCTCACAATTAAGCCATGTATTTCTTCTTAATCTTATTCTGCCAGTAAGAAAAAGTGTATGTGTGGAGCAACTAATTAAATCATATATTCAAACTCACATCATATATTCAAACTCACATACAACTGCAAAAAACTATTTGTTGCCATGTAAACAAACACACACACACAACAAAAAGATTTGCCTGTACAAAACAAGGACAAGGGTTTTTCTCTTTGTTTTGGTTTCTCCTACTCAAGTCATTTTCCCGGCCATTACTCTCCTCCTGGCTTTCTACATTTAGGCTCCAGAGTGAGTGACATGATTGCAGGCTGATGGTTAGTGGGGTCTTGGTTGGCAGGGATGCAGGCACTGAGCTATCCGTGCTGATTCGGGGCGCGTGCTCGCCAAGCTCGGGGAGCAGCAGAGTGCTAATTTAAGTCCTCCCCAACTGGTGATTACTCGAGTGCTCTGCTTATTTTCCCACAGCTGCTCCAGCAAAGCAGCTCTTTAATTACAGAGTGCAAGGGCACGGAGCCATGGACGCGACAGCGCTTAGAAACTCTCACTGCGCCTGCACGTGTTAGTGTGTGTACGTGGGGGGATGTATGTGTGCCAACAATGGGTATAAGGCGTAAAAGGTCACAGAAGGTCAGGACAGGAAGTTGAGTAAATGAATGAACGTGGTTGATTAACAGTTTTCCCAGATGTTCTTTGTTTTTTACAAATGGGCAATGTATACAGACACATGTTCTAAGTTGGGCCATGGGAACTACACTATCAGAAATATTCTCTATAAAGCTGATATTTTTCTTCTCTCTTTATCTATTCTGTCCAACACAAAAGGGATCTGTCTAACAACAGGATCGGCTGTGTCTCGCCTGAAATGTTTCTCGATTTGGGCAGCGTTTCAAAATTGTGAGTAATCCGGAAATTAAAATCATACATTGCACAGCTTTATGCTTAACTTTCTGTATTTACCGTATGTGGTGTTTGATATGGATTTAGTAGGATTTAAATGTATAACAAAATACCGTTGGGTGGATTTAGAGCGTGTGAAGAGTGACTGAATGAATGTCTTTCCCACCAACAGGAATCTATCTGGGAACATCTTCTCCACACTGACTGTGGGAATCTTCACGCACCTTGTGGCTCTCAAAGTGCTGTAAGGACACCAAATATACTTATCATGAGCATCACACTTTGAGTCCTCTAAGTTGTGGCTTAAAAATATATTAAGACCTCGTTATTTACTGAGTCAAGGAGATATTAGCTTTTGGCATTGCAGATATGTTGACTATAGCAGGGAAGGCAGAGGTGTGACTGATTATATCTAAACTGTTAAACATCATTACTAGATGTATTTTGTTAAACTATTGTAGCATAGTTTTAAAGGTCTTTCAGTAAAATTATCATATGCAAGACATAACACAAGAACGCAGGCGTACATATTTAATTTTAGACTAAATATGTTGTGAACAACTACAAATCTAGCCACCCAAAGCAAGCTAATTCAGGTGAGAAGAGATGTGCAAACATAGAGGTAGCATCCATGTTTTCCTATTTGGAAATGAAAACAAATTGGACATTAAAAAAAGGCTTTTAATAAGAGTACAACAATTGATTATTTAATGTACACTAAGGCAATTTTGGTAGAATTGATAGGACATTGTACGAATACGGCAAATGTATCATACAAATACGATTATTATTGTACGAATACGATCATCATCGTACGAATACAATTATTACCGTAACGCTGCTGTCAAATGTAGGTGAATCAGTGAAATAATCACACTTATGCCCTGGAGCTGCTATTAAATGAAACCGTTATTACTTTGAGGAATTGCACCCCGCTTTTCCCTGTGATATCAAACTGTCTGCATTATTGAATACAGTGACTCAAATGAACCTGTTAAGCCCCAAGGTCCCCGCCGGCGGGGACCTTGGGGCTTACAGGTTTACAGGTTTTTTTTCAGGACACTGTGTCTCAGGGGATCTTAATATTTAAGAACCTATTAATGTGTTATACCAGATTAACAGAAATAATCTCAGCTAACTGACAATATAAACCATTTTTACCAAAACAAAACACAAGTGTCATAAGAAGCATCTAAATGAACCCTTAGCGAAAAATGCTAACGGACATTGGCACAGAACTCAAGATAAAAGTACCCTTATTACTTATCGTAGCTGCACATACAGGATATCCGATTAAAGCTGAGGTTCCACAGATTATTTAGGTATATAGTATCATCACTGAGTTATCCGAACTTGCGACAGGGGAATCAAAGACAGACATCACAACACTTACCTTTACATAGCTTCTAGGGAGATCGTCTCACCGTAGCTGTTAATCTGATCAAAAGACGTGTTCAATGGCATTAAAACGAGAAAAAACGCGGCTGAATCGGTTAATCCATAGGTTGATAAAGTTTCTGGGCAATAATTGGAATTATTTATAATCCATAATTCCATTGTTATGTAAAAATCGCAGAGCAAAAGTTAGCTGCTAATGGTAGCCACCAGAGTGGCTGCTGCTTCCGGTCTTGGCTATGCGGCAGTATAATACACACACATAACCAAATAAGGACTATGTTGGAGTTCCCCTCGATTCCATTGGCTCTGACGGTTAGAAAGAGATGTCACATGTCAAAATCTAGCAGGGGGAGCCAGAGATATGAAAAATCCAACCCAAATGGCCCCAGAAGAGGTTTTGTTTTAGCTAAATCTGTCTAAAAATGTACAAATATCACTTGTTTTAGCATCA